AAGGGACTGTGAGGGAGAGTATGTTCTGGGCAGTTTTGTAAGAAAGATAACTGGGGCTCAACACCTACTTAGGGGTTGACAGCTGTACTTAAATCTGGAAAGTTATTTAATGAAGTTACCGTTTCCAATAAAAAAAAACTTCTTGTAGAATTATGAAACAGGTTGAAATGTTAGATATGAAAACTACCAAACAGTTTTCAGATTATATATCCTGTCTCTGTTGTCTGTTACTTAGTTGTTGAAACATGAAAACTGATTCATCATTTCCTCCAAATTTTATGATTATGTATTATCTGGCCATCCTAATATTCTCCATGTAGGCCTTTGACAACAATGGATTTTATTGGTGTGATGTTGGGAGTCCTGGAGCCATATTCGGTCGTCCATGAGAAATCTGTCCAATTCTTTTTTTTTTTTTCTGTTTTGATTTTTTTACTTTGTTTGATAAAATATTATTTAGTTCTCAGTTGTTATTTCCAGCATAGTTGCATGTGATTACCATTTTATTTGATACTTTCCTCTAGACACACCATTCCTAATAGAGATAACCACATAAAAATGGGCTACTAATGAGATTGTTGAACTTTGTTCTCAGAGTCCTTGTTGATGAGAATTGTTGCATGAAAGTTTGTGGAGTACATTTACTTGATATTCTAATAGTGAGCTGCTTGACTTGAAATGGTTATCAAAATTCTAGGAAGAAGCTTACCAAACAATTATGCTTGTGCCAAATGGAGATTTTGAAGATGGATCTTTTATTAGCAATTGAAGGCTGGATGTGTCTTCAGTTGGGTCAGACAATCCTTGCTTCTTTTAGCTTTAACAATTGGACAAATTAACCCATTGCCCAGCAAGAAAAGCCCATTTTGTAGCATTCTTTCTTTTCTCAATAAATATTGCTCTTTTCTCAATCGATTCCCCTTGCTTTACTCTCTCTCCCTTCACAAAAATGAGCCAATTGCAAATTTTCTCCCGAACCCATTTATTCCCATGTCTTTAAATTGGGATTTTGGATTTTGTAGGGGATTAAGGGATGGTGAGTCGATTTGTGTCACTGAGCTACTTCACTTACTTGAGTCAGTTTGTTTGGACCCCACTTCTTCTGATCAAAGAGTTTGGACTCCTCTTCCAAAAGGTACCTTTACTTGTTCTTCTTTTCTAAAATCCCTCAGTTCCAACCCCAATTCCCAAGGGTTTCCTTTCAAAGAAGTTTGGGCGTGACCTATTCCTCCAAAAATTGCTGTATTCTGCTGGGAAGTCTATTATGGGAAAATCAATACTTCGGAAAACTTGCAGAAAAAGAGACCCTTTCTTTGTCTCTCCCCGAACTGGTGTTCCTTGTGTAAGGCCTAGAATGAGGATTGTTTCCATTTGATGATCTCTTGTTCCTTTGCTACAACAACCTTATGGAGTTGGAGCCTTTATTTGGAGGTAGGTGGTCTCTGCCATCTGATTTGAGTTTGTTTTTTAACCCATCTTTTTTTGTATGGCACACTAGAAGAGGCAAGTTCATGTGGAAATGTGTCAGGGCAGCCACCTTTTGGACTCTCTGGGAGGAAAGGAATGCAAGAGTCTTCTTAGAGAAGGAAAGAAGCTTAAATGAAGTGAATGACTATATCCTAACAAGAGCAATACATTGGCTGAAAACCTTGGATATATTTGCTGATTTGTCTTTTGATGACCTGTGGAGGAATTGGTTAGTAATAGCTAATACCTCTACCAAGAAGAATAGAAGTTTGTTAGAATGGGATCCGCCTCCAGAAGGTGTCATCAAGTTAAATTTTGATGGAAGCAGCCAAGGTAACCCTGGGCCTTCAGGTATAGGGGGTGTCCTGAGGAATAAGGACAGCAACGCCATCTCCTTATTCTCAGGACCGGTGGGAGTGGAGCATCTCCTAGTTGCAGTACAAGGAACTCTACAAGGACAGAAATACTAGCTGCAGTACAAGGAATTCAGATCGCTAACCAGCTTGGGGTGGAGCATCTCCTAGTTGAAGGGGACTCTTAGGAGGTAACAAGGTGGCTTCTAAACCCGGATGCTACCATTTGGGGCTACAAAGACCTCATTAAAAATGTAAAGTGGTTAACTAGTAATATGAGAGTTGAGGTAAAATGGGTAAGCAGGCCAGCTAATACTATGGCTGATTCTTTGGCCAAACAGGGGGTTTCCAAGGAGGATCTTTTTTGTGCTACATTGTAACTCGTTATAGTATACTGGAAAGCTGTACTTAACTAACTTAGAGAGGTTGCATCTCGTGCCTCTCCTTGGGGACATTGTACTATTTATCATTGCTGATTAATAAATTTCTTTCAATTATAAAAAAAAATGTAATAATAAAACTTCCCATGTAGGCAACCACTATTCACATTCAGAAGGAAAACAGGAAACCATGTTACAATGGGAATTAAAAAACAAGAAACCATGTTACAGTGGAAGACATGTTGAGAAAGTGGGGTGAGATTACAAATTGCACTTAGGTCAAACCAATAATAAGGGTGTCTTGGACTCCCCCACCTGCTGGCTTGTTAAAGTTAAATTTTGATGGGAGTTGTAGGGGGAATCCGGGACAATCAGGGATTGGAGGTGTTTTTAGGGATGAGAACGGGGTCATTTATGCCCTGTTCTCAAGCTCAATTGGTGTGGGGGATTCCCTTAGAGCTGAGATCTTGGCAGTTATGGAAGGAGTTCAGAAAGCCAAGGAGATGAATGTCAGGAAGCTCATAATTGAAGGGGACTCGGAGGTGGTGATAGGGTGGCTGGTTAAAGATGACTGCGGTTTATGGAACTACAGAAATGAGAAGAGGAAATTCAGGTGGCTGGTGCGGGAGATGGAAATCAGGATGAGTTGGGTTAAGAGATCAGCTAACTCTTTAGCTGATGGATTAGCTAAACAAGGGATAG